ACACACACACACACACACACACACACACACACACACACACACACACACACACACACACACACACACACACACACACACACACACACACACACACACACACACACACATTCGGGGCTGAAGAGAAACTGCTACCGGACGCGTCTCTCCGAGTGGATAGGAGGATGCTCGCTGTCCTTGGATGACACTTAATCTCTTAGTTGATGAGGTACAGCGGGTAGGAGCCAAACAAAATAACCAAACAAAATAAGCTCTCGTGGACAAAACTCCCCTTTAATGGGTTGGTCACACTAACTGACCTAGCAAGACGATCATTCTCTGCTGTGACCCACTGGGAGCGACCGGAACCTGTATCGTAGTTTCCGACGATGCAGGCCACGGCTGATGTGAGCTTGCTCTGCCGAGGTGTAAGTTGCAGCAGTGGATCAGGAGCCAGCCACTTCGGGCCTTGATCAAGAAGTACGCAGTGAGTGTTAGAGATCGGAATCTTCACCGCTCCGAGTCTAGTCTGTCCGTGTATTCCGGGACTGGCTAAGTGTCGACTAGGCCTCAGGGAACTGGGGTAGGAGTACTATCTCCGAGGGTACACCCGTTCCTAGTTATGTCAACCCGCTTCACTCCGTACGATGCGCTGGTAAATTTAAAAGTATGAGTAAAACTATGGAAACAAACAAGAGTGAAAACGGGCCGCACGCCCAACAAGCAGCTATTGAAGCAGGTGCGGAAATGAAGCGGACGCAAGCGTTGGAACGCCTCGAGAAACTGACCAGCGAGTTAAATGATTTCGTCCAGTCAAAGGTCAACATCCACAAGGAGATAAAAAACAAGACGACAAGTGTAGCGAACGCACTTCAACGTTTTAAAAACTGGATGAAGAATGGCGCTCATCATTACACCGCACCCCTGCGCTACATCAGAGATCGCTGAAGGAAAAAGTGAAACTATCACAGTGAATGCACCTGGAAAAACTGACATACTGGTTGAAGAAATGGACACAGACGGCGAAGGTGATATCGAGTCAGTCTGTGAAGACGGAGGTGAATCGGGAACCAGGAAACGGAAAGAACGAAGTCCTGACCCAAGAGAAGATCAAACAACGAAGAAGAAGGACTTGAAACCGAGCCCTCCAAAAAACATGGCGGCACAGATCGCCGATAAGAAGGAGGCGTCTAAGTGGCAGAAGGTCCAATCCAAGAAGGAAAAAAGGAAGCAAGGCGAAAAGCAACTTCCAAAGCAATTGCCGGAAAAAGTGCAGCTGGAGCCTAAGCGGAAAAAACCGTACAAACGGATCAGACCAGACGCACTGATCATCCGCTCAGCTGAGCCTGCAAAGTACGCTGAGATTTCTCGGTGAATGAAGCAAAGCATCCCTGATGAACAGGCCCGTACCACAGTGGACAAGATCCACAAAACCAGGGCCGGAAATATGCTGATTACCCTCTCTAGGAAGAGCACCGACAAAGGCCAAGCCTTGCAGAAGATCATTGCGGATATTCTCCAAGAAGACACCCAAGTAATTCGTAAAGGGCCACAGGAAGACGTTGAAATCCGAGACCTTGACGATACCACAACCAAGGAGGACATTCAAACCGCCTTGCGAACGGTGACTGAAGAGTCCTGCGAGATACCACTATAGACAATTAAGATTCGTAAGTCCTACAGAGGTACTTTTTTTTTTTGTTTAAAGTTTATTTATTAAGTGTGTGTGTGTGTGTGTGTGTGTGTGTGTGTGTGTGTGTGTGTGTGTGTGTGTGTGTGTGTGTGTGTGTGTGTGTGTGTGTGTGTGTGTGTGTGTGTGTGTGTGTGTGTGTGTGTGTAAACCTCTTGTAACTTTTGAACGACTTGACCGATTTCATCGCGGTTGGTGTCATTCAAAAGGGCTTCACTAAACTTAGATTTCCTGAAAATTTGAACCGATTCCGACTGGTAGATTTCGAGAAAATGCAAAAAAAGTGAAAAAAAAAGTTGTTTTTTTTTATTTTTTTTAAATATTTCCGAATTGGCTGAACCGATCGGTCTCAAAAACTAATCAGCTTTTAACCTTAAAAACCCCCATCGATCGCCACCAAAAACGTTAGAATCGGTTGATGCGTTCGTGAGATATCGTCGAAAAAGATCGAAAGAAGTGTTTTTTTGTAATAACTTCGAAATTCATGGCTCGATCTATTTAAACTTGAAAATTTTTCATGGAGCTTTAAAAACTGCGTCGATTGCCGCCAACCGCGTGAAAATCGGTTAATTCATTCAAAAGTTATTGCCGTTTGAAAATTCAAAAAATTGTGTCTTTAAACTGCTATTAGAATTTTGAGCTCGAAGAGCTCAAAAACGTAATGTGTAGTTTGAAGCGTTTAAATACAAAATGAGCGGGAAGTTACCGGGATGGCCTTTAGGGTGAACCGTTTTTCTAATTTTATTTGTTTTAAGTTTATTTATTAATTTTTAATAATACATGTTTTATAATTATTAGGTCAGATAAACAAAAAAGAAAACCTTATAAACATTAGTTTTAAATAAGTTACAGGCTGTAGTTAGCAGCACTCGGACTTAAACAATCTGTGTTATTAACCTTAAAAAAGAATTCTTGTGTTCTTGTGACAGGATGTTAATTTTTAGATCCTAGCCAAACTTTGGTTTATTGTGCTGTTGGGAAAAAATTATCTATTAGAAAAAAAACCCTAGCGTAAATCTTTTAAATTATATAATTAAAACTAGAAATAGCTATTTACATATATACATGAAAAGTGCAGCTGAAGCTGCTATCACAATGTTAAATTATAATATTTGTTCTGTTGAATTTATTTAATTTATTTATTTATATTAATGCTGATTGTAATTTCTTTTTCTGAGCAAAAGCTTGGCGTATTCAGAACTGCGTGAGTCGATCCACCAGTATATTTTATGGTCCAGTTTGTGAAAGACCGCTTCATCTGTTTTTGGCAAAGCTATAGAGTACTTATCAGGTATCAGTTTGAAAGTACTCAGGTCTATATTTTTGTTACTTTTGTGCCTGCTTCTATGATAAATTATGGGTACATTTTTACTGTTCTGGATGTATCCCAATTTATCACGAGCAGTGAACGCTTGTGGCTGCAGCATGCCCTTTTCGGAGTTGGTGTTTAAGTCTCCTCTTATATTCTTGAGATTTTTAATGGTATCGTTCTTTATTTGGTTGAACTTACTGTAGTAATCTCTGGTCAACGTGATCCTGTGATTATCGATCCTCGGAATGGTGGCAGCATCGTACAGCTTTTTGTTGCTAAATCTTTCTCGATAGTCAGTGTCTGGGCGTCTGTGCATATTTAGAGCTGTTCTTAAGCAGGATCTTTCGAATGCTCTTAGCTTTTCAGCTTGAGCTGTGCCTAGGTTCCAGTTGACGGGAGATGCGTAAGTTAACAGCGGTCTGATAAGGAGTTGATAACAGATTACCTTTGCTCTGGAGCTGATGTGTCTGTTATGGAAGAGTCTGCCCAGTGACTTGTAGGTGTTGCGGGCTTTTTTCAGCTGCGCATCAAGATGTGAGTTACATTTAGCCAGGTAGTCTATGTTTATGCCCAGGTATTTAACGATGCTTTTAGTAGAGACTTTGGTGAGTTCTCTTGAAACTGGGTGGAATGTTTCAATGATGAAGTTGTCATTGTTGATTCTCTTGGCCTTGGTCACGAATCTGGCTGGTCTTCTGAACACTATTGTCTCACATTTTGCCGGGCTGACACGTAGGTTCCACAAGGCGTAGTAGTTGTTTATTTTATTTACTAATCTTTCAAGCTGGTCTTTCAGTGGCTCTGGATATTTTGCAGCGACATATAGGATCAAGTCGTCTGCATACGCTATCGAGTAGGTGTTATTGTCTTGATTCAGCTTGAAAGCGTTCAATGTTTGGCTGGTGAAGATGTTGAAGAGTGTTGGAGAGTTTACTGTCCCCTGTTGTAGACCCTCTTTTATTTTAAAAAGTTTTGGACATTTTTCTCTTCCATTCCAGGTGTAGAAGGTACGGCCGGTGATCATTCTCCAGATTAGACCTACCAGTTGCTCTGGAAATTTGTTTTTGGTCAGAATGTATATTAATCCAGCTAGCCAGACCGTGTCGAAAGCTTTTTCTAAGTCGATGAGCGTTGCTCCAATGATATCGTCTTGTGCTAGATGCGATGTTACATCAGACAGAAGTTTGTTGATGGCATGAACTGTGGAGTGTTGATACCTGAAACCAAATTGATTGTCAGGCATTACACTGTATGCTGCACAATGTGAGACGATTGAATCATTGATTATAGCCTCGAAGACCTTGCTTATATTAGGTGTTAGGCTAATAGGTCTGTAGCTGGATGGTTGGTTAGCTGGTTTCCCTTTTTTGAGGATTGGAATAATCTTTGATATTTTCCAGGCTTTTGGGAAATATTGCCTGTTGAGAGCGTTGTTGAATAATGTCGAGTAGTCTCTGATTATGACCGTAGGCAGATGTTTGAGTACGATGGACGGAATGTCATCGACTGCAGAGGTTTTATTAGAGCATATGAGTCATTGTTGCTGAATTTCATAACTATTTATTTCAAGTAAATAATTCATCTTTGTCGTGTTGTCGTTTATTTGTGCTTCTATTGTAGGTAATCTTTGGTTTAATTGAGAAAATTGTGTCAACAAATCTTTTGCCCACTGTCTGGGCGATGATGTCTGGTCTTGCTGCTGAGGAGCTTGTTAATGCACGTTGGGTGCATTGGGGTGGAAATGTGGGCCTTGCAGGGCACTGGTGTCTTGTCGTTGGCTATTAAGATTCATGGCTGCAGAGTATGAGCGGTTTGGGTCGACGAATGTATTAATTCTGTTGAGTTTGATTGCCGTTTCTTCAATTGCAGTTGGCACATTTAAGCGCTTCTTTTGTGTCCTCTGGTTTGATTGTGCACATATATTTGTCATGGGTTTCACCACACTTGACACATTTTTGTTGGAGCTTGCAGTTAGCTTGTGAATGTCCCAACTTTTGACAGTTTCGACACTGAAAAATTATTTTTTTTCTGAGAAATTCCCATCTTGCTTTTTGAAAAAGAATACCTTTCACTTTCATCAGCACCGCTGTGTTGCTCCAATGTGACACTTGCACTAGGTGATGATGACTCGTATGTTTCCTGGTTTTAAATACTATATCTTGAACTTTAATAATCTCGACATTTGGGATTTGGAGTTCATTTAAGGCATTTTTAACGTCGGCACAATTGAAGTCGCCTTTTATGCCTTTAAGAATCAACGTTCTACGTTTGAGGCTTTTGGGTGTGTAAGTGTAAAATTTAATTTGATTTGCTGTTAGTAGCTTTATTATTTCGGAGTAAACTGTCAACACTTTGGTTGATACGTTGATGTTATTGCTGGGAGTAACTTGTCTTAGTTGAAAGTCGGTTTTTCCAATATTGTTGGAGAAAAATAGTTCAATTACCTCTTTGATTGTTGCTCCATTCATTATTATTGGTGGCGGTCTGGCAGATTTTTCTGTGACCGGGGTATTTGTTGTTTGATTTGTTGTCTCTTGTTATTTGGAGCGGTAGACTCCATGTTTTGGTTTTTTGTTGACAATTGGGTGACGCCGCCTGTCGGCTCGATGTCGAACTCCATGTCATTTTCATTATCTGCTGTTAGAACATTAAATTGGTTGCTGGTAGATGTCTCTGCTTTCTGAATCGGAATAGTTGTTTTGTCGCAAACTCTCCAAGAAGGAGAGTTTCCGTAATTATTTTGTTCTTCTTAATTATTCAGGATCAGGATCAGGATATCTAATTTAAAAATAATACACTTGGTGTTGGGGTGAATAATTATAAATAATTTATTCCCCAATGGGAGAAAACTCTAGCAATGACTAGAGAAAAACTCCTCGAAGATAGATACAATTGTATGTAATAAGAGTATGTGTGTGTATGTAAAATGAGACAATTGTACTTGGCGTACAATAGGGGTGAGGGGTGACCTCAACCGCCTTTGAGTTTTTGAAAGTACTCGTAATCTGTTTATATTGATCCGAGAAGATCGAATATATTTGTAATCTGAGAACAGAAGCTAATTAATTGAATTGAGATGAATTATTAATCACGTTGAATGAATAATACTCGCGAGACCTTATATTAATTGTAATGTTTGATAATGAACACGTGAGAAGCACTATGTTCTATGATTTCACTATAAATTAAATTATATTCTGAAATTAACTTAATTGGAATCTAATTAATTATTATTACTGCAGCAAACATTGAAAATGAAAATGATATTACTCATTGATGATGAAATCCCGAGTTCTTTTTGCACGTTGTGTAAATTAAAACAATGGCCGCGACACCACGACAAAGTACCGCGTCGTAAGCACTAAAGATGCCTATTTTATTTCGATGAATTTATTTTTATGTTATGATAAGTTAAAAAACACGAGTTGAATTAAAATCGAATAATTAATCTAATATTAATTTGAATGTATTATTATATCATTTAGTCACAAACGGAAAAGCACAGAATAGCGATGCAATTATTAGCGAGGCTAGCGGGTATATTGTGTAGGTTACAGGTCCCAAACACAACTGAGATATGCACATGGCGTCAAGTGCCTCGTGCTTTGGGCCGGCCGGGCTTCTTCCCGCTAGCTCATGGTGCGCAGGTGCAACAGCCATTACCAATGCGTCATTGGACATGTTCGTAAAGAACAGTCATAGAAATGACTCTTATTGAGTCTCAAGTATAGTAAGAGTTTTAATATAATAAAGAGTCGGGGTGACCAACTCCCTTTGGTACAATTAAGAGAATCAGGGTGACCAATTCTCTTGTGCCTTGGCTGCAAAACATAATTACCTATAGGTA